ACTTCGTCCTGCCCCCCGCCTCACCCCGCGCCCCCCCCAGGAGACGCCCCATGGAAGGTGGGGGAGGCCACAGGGATCCTGGGGGGCTGGGGAGGGGGGGCAAGGGGCTCATCCCGCCACCCCAGCCCCATCTCACGCCTCCTTCTCCCCTCCAGAGCTGGAAGAGGAGATGAGAGCCCGGGAGGCCGAGATCACGGCCAGACTGTCACCCCCAACCCGGTAAGGGGGCAGGCGTGGAGCATCCCCTCTAGGGCACGCCAGCCCCAGGGCGGGGTGAGGTTGGCTGGGGGGCTTGGGTCCTTTCCCCTCTAGTGAGCACCGGGGTGGGGTTAGCTGGGGGTGGGGAATGGGGCACAGGGCCTTTCCCCACTAGGGGGCGCCGGGGTGGGGCTGGCTGGGGGCGGGGAATGGGGGTCGGGGTCTTTCCCGTCTAGGGGGCGCCTGGATGGGGCTGGCCGGGGGCAGGGAATGGGGGTCGGGGTCTTACCGTCTCTCCCCATAGGGTGGGTGAGGAGCTCCCAGCCGAGGTGGAGACCCCCATCCTGCCCGAGGAGCTGGCCCGGCTGCCGAAGGAGGAGCTACCCCCACCCCCCGGTGAGTGTGGGGCATGAGGGGGGGGAGGGTCGAGGGGGGTCTCCAGCCTCTAACTCTTGCTCTGGGTTCTGCCCCACAGAGCTGAGCCCCCCGAGGGAGCCAGGACTGCCGCCCCCTCCCCCATCCCCAGCTGTGACCCCCAGGGTGACGCGCCCCCCAAGCAGCCCGAAGGTAAGTAGGGGGCCTGGGCTAGCCGATGGCCTCTCCTGGGCAGGGTGCCCCTGGCTCACCCGTGCCCCCCTGTGCCCCACAGCTGGAGCTGGCCGTGTACGAACCGGCCCCACCGCGCACCCCCCGGCGCCAGCTCCGCTTCCTGGACGAGGTGACCCAGATCCCTCGGGACCAGTTCAAGAAACAGATCCTGGATGTGCGGGCCCAGTGCCGGCCCCTGGTGAGTGCTGCCCCCCGGCAAGTCCCAGTCCCCCGGCGAGTCCCAGTCCCCCAGCGAGTGCCGGCCCCTGGTGAGTGCCAGTCCCCCCGGCAAGTCCCAGCCTTCCAGCGAGTCCCTGTCCCCCCAATGAATGCCGGCCCCCCTGGTGCGTCCCAGTCCCCTTGGCGAGTCCCAGTCCCCCGGCGAGTCCCAGCCTTCCAGCGAGTCCCTGTCCCCCCAGCGAGTCCCAGTCCCCCCAGTGAATGCCGGCCCCCCTGGTGAGCCCCAGTCCCCCCGGCGAGTTCCAGCCTTCCAGCGAGTCCCTGTCCCCCCAGTGAATGCCGGCCCCCTGGCGAGCCCCAGTCCCCCTGGCGCGTCCCGGCCCCCTGGCGCGTCCCGGTCCCCTGGCGAGTCCCAGTTCCCCCGGCGAGTGCCGCCCCCCCGGTGAGCCCCAGTCCCCCCGGCGAGTCCCAGTCCCTCTGATGAGTCCCGGCCCCCCAGCGAGTCCCAGTCCCCCAGCGAGAGCCGGCCCCTGGTGAGCCCCAGTCTCCCCCGGCGAGTCCCAGGCCCCCGGTGAGTGCCGGCCCCTGGTGAGTCCCGGCCCCCCGGCGAGTGTCAGCCCTCGGGCACGAACCACTAACTCCCACTCTCCTCCCTGAGCTGGGAGAGAACCCAGGCGTCCTGGCTCCCAGCCCCCCAACTCCATCTGTCTCTGCTCCAGGTGGTGGTGGAGGTGCCAGCCCGGCAGCGCAGGACCCCAGCGGAGCTGCTAAGAGCCCCCACATATGGTGAGTGCCCCCCCGCTCCCTCGGTCCCCACGCTGGGTCCCTACCCCCCTCACCCTGTCTGTGCCCCCAGGCTGGCTGCCCCCCGAGCTGCTCGCCCTGTGGCAGCGCTGCGCCGTCCTGCAGCCTGTGGACTACGCGGCGCTCTGGGCCGAGGAGGAGAGAAAAGAAGAGCCAATCAGCGAACTGGAGGTACCTGGGGCCCCCCGGCAGCCCCCGCTCTAACCCCTGGACTCCACTGGCCGCCCAGAGCCCGGGAGAGAACCCAGGAGTCTGGGCTCCCAGCCCCCCTCCCTGGCTCTATTCCCTAGCCCCCACTCTCCTGCGAGAGCCGGGGAGAGAACCCAGGAGTCTGGCCTCCCAGGCCCCCTGCTCTAACCACTGGACCCCACTCCCCTTCCCGGGCTGTGAGTGTCCCCCTCTTTTGTAGGTTGCACGTGAGGCCCTAGAGCCCAGCATCCCTGTGATGGTCTCCTCAGGTGAGTTGCTCATGTGGGGGCAGGGGCAACATTCTGCAGGGAGGTGGACAGGGGACTTGGCTGGGGGCACCATGCCACAAGGAGGGGACCAAGTGGGCTCGGTGGAAGGGGGCTGCATTGTAGGGACATGGTCGGGGGCTCAAGGGAAGGAGCTACAGGGGGCACCGTGCCCCAGGGAGGGCGCGCTGTAGGGACATGGGCAGGTGGCTCACCTGGGAGTGCAGGGAGGGAGCTAGAGGGGGCACTGTGCCCCAGGGAGGGGCTCTGGGGCCGTCTCTCCCCTACACCAGCAAGGGCAGTGTGGGTGGCAGTCAGCACTGACCAACCCCTGCTCCTGGCCCCTCGCAGAGATCTCCCTGGAGACCACTGAGGAGGAGGTGCCACGCCCCAGCCTGGTGACCCCCGAGGAGAGAAGGTGAGACCCCAATGGGGGGGCAGGGGTATAGGCCCCCAGGACCCCTATTAACCCTCTGCCCTGTCCCCAGGCTGGTGCCGGAGCCCGAGGAGGCCCTGCCAATCGTCCCCGAGCTGCCTGAAGTCAGCCTGGAGCTGCCCCCTGACAGAGACTTGATCACTCTGGAGTACATCCGCAGGTGGGCCGGGGCCTGGCACTGGGTGCGGGAGGGTCGGACTCCTGGGTTCTACGCCAGCTCTGTCTCCCCTCCAGGCTGGTGGCCGCAGAGCTGGAGCAAGTCGGGGAGACAGATTTCCGGTCCCTGGTGCCCACCACGACCTCACGCAGCATCGCCAGCCGCATCTTCTACCTCTGCCTCGGTGAGTGGGGCCCTGCTGCCCCCTGCCAGCGGGTTGGGCTCTAGTGGGTGTGGGGTCCTGCTGCCCCCTGCCACTGGGTTGGGCTCTAGTGGGTGTGGGGCCCTGCCGTCCCCTACTGACCGGGTGAGCCCCCGTCGGGGTGGGGCCCTGCTGGTAGGTGAGCCCTGGTGGGTGTGTTGGCATCAGCCCTAACTCCTCCCCCCTCTCTTGCAGTTCTCTGTGGGCTCCAGTTCCTGCAGCTAGACCAGACCGAGCCCTACGGGCCGATTCTCCTCAAACGTGGGGCCCGATTCCGTTCGGGCTAGGGCCCCTGCCCGGGGGAGAAGAGGCTCCCCACGGCTGAATGGGTCTCTCCCCTCCCCCCGGTTACAAATCTGTTCTAATTAAAGTGTTTTGCCAGCAACCTGCCCCCTGAGTTATTTGGGGGCAGCGGGAGCAGGTGCTTTTTCCTTTCATCTAGTGTTGAGACCCCAAACTCAGACCCCTCCCCGCACCAGCAAAAGGGAGGCCAAGCATCGCCCCAGCCCCCCCTTGGGACTGAGCAGCCCCCTTTCCTTTCTCACCTGCCCCCCTCGCAGGAGGGGGCAGACCTTAGGCTCACCATCTCCATGTCCCCTCGGTAACAGGGTGTGACGAACTGGGACTGTTCTTACTGTGGTCGGGGAATGCTGACAGAGGAGTGTGGCTGGGATGGTCTGCATTGGGGGATGGGAGACTGACTGGAAATACCTGAGCCTGTAACATGAGAACCCAGGAGGGGGCTGGGACCAGGTGACACCTTTGCCCAGAGACTGAACAAAGGCTGTGGGTGGGGTCGCTGAAGGCAGAGTCTGGGAAGCTGGCTGGTGAGGTGGCTGGAAGGCAGGGAGGGCTCTGACCCCAGGAGGTGGACTGGGGTGCCCAAGGACCCCAAGATGGACCCATCTGTGGGGTATCCTGTTGTCTGTGCCTGTAAGACCTGTCTGGGACTGTATTCCTGTCGTCTAAATAAACCTTCTGCTTTACTGGCTGGCTGAGAGTCATGGTGAATCACAGGAAGCCGGGGGTGCAGGGCCCTGAGTCCCCCATACTCCGTGACACAGGGGATGAGTCTTTCGCCCCACCCCCTCCCTACCTCCTTTTCCCCAACCTGAAGGTTCATGCCCCCAATCCCAAAGAGACCCGCTGTCTCAGGCAAACGTTATTTTATTCCAAGGTATAGAATATAGATTTTTCTCTCATCAAAAAACAACAACAACCGTCAAAGAGGTATTAAATACAGGAATAGGGGGTATTGCTCAGACCTAGAACCACCCCAAAACACCACCAGCACTAAGCGTGTTGGCTACTCTGGTAGGGGTAGAACATCAGCCGAGTGAACAACCAGACTTAAATACACCTGGCCGGCGGCAGGTGAAAAGTAAAATCACAGGTGAACTGATTAAGAAACAGTATGGAAACCACTTCTCAAGGTGAAAACATACAGGGAGAGCAGACTGGCACTGAGACAATACCACCCTCGAGGTGATAGGTGAAGATACAGCCGGACCACTCACCCTGTGATTGAATTCTCCCCATGCCATTGGAAGATACAGTCCAACATATTAATGTTGAGGCTGAAACCCTGCTGTAGATAGCGGGTGAAGAAATACAGGCGGCCTAGATGACAATGCAACTCAGGCTCACCCCTGCAGTGGGGGAGGGATGAAACAGGCACACTGGTTCACACTTGGAAGTCAACTCCTCCATAGGATGAATAACAGCTATGCGTGAAATGGGTAACAGCAAGACAGACTCGCATGTGAGATGCTGGTTAGTGAAAAGCTACAGGCAAACTGAGCAAAGAAATCTCCTCTTGTTTTGGCTGGGGGTGACAAACCAACAGGCGAACCGGGGTAACTACAGGATTCAGACTCCCTGCAGCCATGGTGGGTGAAAGAACAGGTGAGGTGGTTGCACAGCCAGACAAAATCCTCCTTCTTGGCAACAGTGAAGCAGCTGAATATGGTCATCTCATGAGTGTGCTAGGTGAAAAAAACTACAAGTGAACCAGTTAGTGATGCAACTCCCAGCAGCAGAGGAAGAATAAATACAGGCAAGCAACGGGATCCAAAAACTACAGGCCAACTGGATAACAATGAGACTAATACCCCCCTCTTTAGGGCAGCAACAATTACAGGTGAGACTGCCCCTCAAATCCACGGTGAAATACATGGGAGGATCCTGTTCAATACCATGACGATGGTGCTAACCACCGACAGAACCAGATCACAATATGACTTGGTATTTTCCCCCCACACCAGTGCTGCATAGAGGCGGAAGAAGGATCAAACACCGTAACTGAAGTCCTCCTCCCACTGGTGACAGGTACAGGCAGAATCCATTCATACCACATCTCTAATTCGCTCTTACATTGGTGGAGGAAATCAAACTACAGGCAGCCCTGGTGAATGACGGGAGCTATCCCCTCCACGTGGGCAGTGGGTGAAAGTTACAGGCAACTGGTGACCAAACAGTACTCGGATCCCTCCTCCACAGTGATGGCGAGTGAGAAGACAGGCGGAGCAGACGAGACCACAAACTGAGTCCTCTCCGCGATGGTGTTGGATACAGGCAGACAGTTCAATCATATGCTCCGAAGGGCCTCCCCAGTGATGAGAACAATCTGGGGGGCCCAGAGTTGGCCATTTGGGGGGAGAACAGGCAGAGGGGGCTTGACTGTACTCGCCAGGGGTCACTTGAGCAAGGAGGGGCCGTGTCCCTGGAGGGGAAAGAAGGTGCAGTGAGAGTCGTTCTCGGCAGGACCCCCCACCTCCTCGTCCCGCCGCACTCACCTCACGCTGAGCCGAGGGCCCCGCTGATACGGGCGCTGGCGTCAGGGGGCAGGGCCAGCAGGGCCGCCTGGAACTCCGTGGGGCAGCGGGCGGAGAGATGCCGCAGCAAGGAGAGAAGGGAGACCTGGGCATCTGGGGGGAGCCGGGGGGTTAGATGGGAGAGACACCCTCAGGATCCCACACCCCAAGGCAGGGGAAGGTGAGGGGGAAGAGACACCCCCTCTTGCTCAATGGCGGGATCCCCAGCCCCCTCCCTTTCAGACACCCCCCAACTTACCTGCCGGGAGATGGTCGGTCCCCAAGACAGTGCTACTGGCCCGCACCACCTCCCCCACCTGCTGCAGCACCTGGGGGGGACGGGACAGCGGTGAGACCCCGATTTCCCCCCAATACCCTCATCCTGTCACCCACTGGAGAACCCCCCCATCACCCCCCCACCTGAAGGGGAGACGCCTCTCTGCACAGTGTTCTGCCCCCCACTGCGGTTCACACCCCCAAACCCCCTTAGTCACAGGGATTTAACCCTCCCAAACCCCCAGATAAGAGCCCCCAAAAGACCCCTCGCTCCTGGAACAGGGACCCCCACAGCCCACCCAAATCCCCTCCCCAGATCAGTCCCCATCAACCACTGGAACAGGAGCCCCCCCAGCCTGCCTCCAGGCCCCCCATGGGGCGGTACCTGCTGGGGGGCGTTCTCGTACAGGAAACTGATGCAGCGGAAAACGGTTTTATTCTCCTCAAAATCCTCCGTGAGGGGCAGGGAGCGGAGCAGGGCGGGGAACACCTGGGGGGAGACCCCGTTAGACAGATCCCCCGCTAGCCCCCCGGCCAGCAGGGGCCAGCCCCCCTAGAGGGACAAGGCCCCGCCCCCCCCGCCAGCCAGAGCCCCCTAGAGAGGAAAGGCCCCGCCCCCCACCAACCGGTGCCCCCTAGAGGGGCAAGGCTCCACGCCCCATTCCCTGCCCCCCATTCCCCGCCTCACTGGGAAAGCCCCCCATCGTGCCCCCTCACCTGGCTGAGGGGCAAGGCCTGGGGCTGGCTCAGGACCATGCGGGCGACGGCCCCACAGACGTTGTCCCGGACGCGGGCGCTCGGCTCCTGGGCGCTGCCCCCCGCCAGCAAGGCCAGGATCTTAGGGTAGTGTCTGGGGGGGCGGGGGTTAAGGAAAAGGGGAGCAGCAAGGGACCCTCCCTCCAAACCACCCCACAGCCTCTCACCCCCATGTACCCCTGGCCTCCCCACAGCAGAGACCCCCCAGGTCAGACCCCCCCCCTCAGATGATACCCCTCTCCCTGCCCCCCCAACTCCCTCTTGGCCCCCAACCCATCCACCTAGATGACCCCTAGTAACCTGCATAACCCCCATGCAGCCCCCGCCATGGGTCAGGCCGCCCCCCACATCCCGCAGCCCCCGCCGTGGGTCAGGATACGGGAGCAGGGCCTCCCCGCCATGCTCGGCCAGCACCCCCAGCGCAAAGACGCCGTTGCTGCGCACTTCGGGGTCGGAGTCCCGGGCGGCCCCCAGGAAGGGGGGAAGGAGCCGGGGCACAAAGGGGGCTGTGGCCCGGCCCAGCCCCCCCAGCGTCTCCGCCAGCGTCCCCACAGCGAAGGAGCGCTCCGCCACCGAGCAGCTGGGCTTCTGGGGGGAGAGCGAGGGGGGCCCGGATGCCTGGGTTCAGCAGGGGGAGCCCACAGCCACCCGGGTTCAGTGGCGCGGAGGAAACCTGCCTGGACCCCTAGGTCTCTGGGGGCGGGTGGGGGGGAGGGGCAATTGTGCCCGGACACCTGGGTCCCCGGGGGTGGTGGGGCAATGGGAGAAGGGGGAACCAGCCTGGACACCTGGGTCCCCATGGGGTGTGGGGTCAGAAAGGGGGAACCAGCTCAGATGCCTGGGTCCCCGGAGGGGGGGGCGGGGGGGGGGCGCAGACACTCACCATTTTGTTGAGCAGCAGGGGCAGGAAGCCGGCGAAATACGGGGCGAAGGTGTCGCCCCCTGCAGCCATGGCCAGAGCGGGGATCCCCTCCCCCGCGTACTCCAGCAGCATGGCGTCGTACTCCGCCTGGGGGGAGCGGGGGTGAGCCCAGCTGCACCCCACAGGTCCTGCCCCCCCAAAGCCCTCCGCCCTGCAATCCCATGGCCCCCCAGAAGCCCGAACAACCCCTCTGACTCCATCCCAAAATCCCCTGCCCCCCTAAATCCCCCACCACCCCCCAGCCCCCACCCTGCACCCCCCAGAATCCCTGACTACCCCTCCGACCCCCAGTTCCCAAATCCCCCGACCTGCAGCCCCCACCTACCAGCAACCCCCCAGAGCCCCCATTTCTTCCTCCCCTGCCCCCCGATCTCCAGCCCCTCTGCTCCATGCAGCCCCACATAGCCCCCAACCAGGACACCTGCTCTTCATCCTCCTCATCTTCCTCGTCCAAGCCGTCGTCCTGGCAAGCCGTCTGGGGGGATGGGGGGAGAGAAGAGAGCTCAGTACTGGGACCCCCAAACGCCCCTTTCCGTGTCCCGTCCCCCCCCCCCCCGCCCCCCCCGCTCCCCCCCGCCCCCCATGCCCCAGCCCCCCAGTCAGCCGGTCCTCCCGCCCGAGCCCTCTACGTTCCACCCCCCTCCCAGAGGGGAAAGGCCCCGTGTCCCCCCTGGCCAGTACCTTCCTCTCCAGCACGGCGCGAAGGGCCCCACAGAGCTCGGCCAGGCGCCCCGGGCTCCGCAGCGCCTCCTGCCGGCAGGCGGTGAGCACCGCGCCCAACGCCTCCAGCACCGCCATGGCCACCAGCCGCTCCCGCTCCCGGTGCACGCCCCGCGCCATGGCCGGCAGCGCCAGGCCCAGCAGCCGCTGCAGCGCTGGGAGGGGGAGGGGGGGGGGAAGGGGGAACGACACGGGGATCAGTGCAGGGCTCCGAGCTCCCCCGACCCTGCACGCTTCCCACCCCTGCCCCTGGGCTGTGAGCTTCCCCCACGGTGCCCCACAAGCTCCCCCCGCCCTGCAAGCTTCCCATCCCGGCCCCGGGGCTGCGAGCTTCCCCCTGCAGTGACCCGCCCTTCCCCAGCCCCCACAAACCCCCCCGCTGACCCTGGGGCTGCGAGCTACCCCCGGCGGTGCACCCGTGTTCTCCCCAGCCCAGCAACATCCCAAATCCCAGGGCTGTGACCACCCCTTCCCCCAACTCACCGGCGGCGTGGGGCTCAGAAGGGTCCCGCTCGCAGACCCGGTGCAGCGCGATGCAAAACTGGCCAAGGGCTTCGTAGGCGGCTTTCCGGACCCCCAGGTGGGGGAACTGGAGGGAGAGGGGAAGTTGAGGCGGGGGGTCACAGCTCCCTGCTCCCCCCATTACCCCATCGGCTCCCCCCAGCGCATCACCCCGGATCAGCGAGGAAAGGGTTAACCCTGAGCCCCCCCAGCCTGCGCCCCCACCCCCTATCGCTAACCCCCCGCTGCCCCCCAAATCCTCCCCTCCCCCTCCCCGGCTACCTCCAGCAGCTGGAAGACCTCCGGGACGCAGCTCTCCAGGTAGGGCAGGAAGGTGACACTGGGACAGACGGACGGACGGGTTAGGCCCCCGGAGATACAGCCCCCCCGGCCCCCAGACCCCCTCCCCCCAGGGCAGCCACCCCAAGACACACACCCCCATACCTGGCGTTCACCGCGATCTCCCCCAGGGCGGCGCAAGCGTCCTCCTTCTCATCCACGTAGGCGCTTTCCACGCTCAGCCTGGGGGGGCGGGGGGGGGGCAGGGTCAGACGGGGGGCCTCCCCCCAAGTGCCCCTCCCACACCTCAGCCCCACTGGCCCCCCTTCCCCAGCCCCCCGACTCCACCCCCACCCAGGGCTCCCCCCCCCACCCCTCAGCCCCTCCCCGGGGCTCCCCCACCTCAAAGCTCCCCCCCAGCTCAGCCCCCCCATACCCGAATAGCTCTTCCTCCTCCTCGTCGTCGTCCTCCCCGTCCAGATCTTCCTCCCCCTCCACCTCGGCCTCCTCTTCCTCATCTTCGAACAGCAGGAAGGAGCTGGTGTCCCCAGCAGGGGGCTGGGGGCGACGGGGGCAGGTCATGACACGATAGGGGGCATTTCCCCTTCCCCCAACACCCCCCGGTGCCCCCCAGCCTGAGTCCCTTCCCCCACGCCCCGGCTTGCAGGAGCACCGCTGTGGGGAAGCTCGCAGCCCCAAGGTCCCCTCCTCCACCTAGCCAGCAGGGGCACGGCCTGGGGGGGGGCACTCCCTTCTCCGAGGCACAGCCAGGGGGTCGTGGTGGTGGGGGGAGACGACGATGCCCCGAGGCCGGCCAGGGGCACTGTTTGGGGGGAAGCTCGCAGCCCTGGAGGAGCGGAGGCAGGGGACTCACCACAAGGCCCTCAGTGGATTTGAGGGAGTAGAGAAGCAGGGTGGTGATCCGGGGCAGATGGGGGGCCAGGTCGTCCCCCATGGCACAGGAGAGCGCGGCGAAGAGGCTGTACCTGGGGGGAGACGGGGGTCAGGGGCTGCAGGTCGGGGGGGGGCACCACCCGGGGGAGGCGGAGGGGGGTCACTCACGTGCAGCGCCGTAGGTCGGGGTCGTCCTGCCCCTCGGCCAGGCCCAGCCCCAGCTGGCAGCTCTCCTCCGCCAGGGGTCCCACTACCTCACGCCCCAGCGCCCGCACCAGCACCCCCAGCGTCTCTGCGGGGGAGGGGAGCGTCAGACACCGCGGCTGTGGGGGGCGGCACTCACCCACAGCCAGGCACTGCAGGGGGCGCTGCTCCTGGGTGGTGGCGGGGGCAGGGCTAGGGACTGGTGGGGGGCTGGGGAGGTTGGCTTAGGGGGCAGGGTTAGGGGGTCACTGTGACAAAGTGGGAATGTTCTTAATGTTCTCTCTGAATACTCTGTGGGTGTCTCAGTTTCCCCTATGCAGTTCTTAAGGATCTAGGTGGGGGGGATCAGGGGTGTGATTGGTGCAGAGCCCTAGAGGGCAGGTGTGATGGTGTCTGCACAGCGAATGGCCGACGCCCTGTCTCCTGGCAACCGATGGCCTGGGCCCCTCCCTGCAAGGTGCCAAGTGAAGGTGCTGGAGAACAAAGGGCTCAGGTGACCTAGCCCGGAAAGAGACAAAGGCAGGGGAGGGGCTCGAGATTTCAGTTGGGAGCTGGCTGGGGAAACAGGAGGGCCCAGGTGCTCTGGGGCTGGAGCACCCACGGGGAAAACTTGGTGGGAGCTGCAGCGCCCCGCCCCCAGCCCAGCTCACCTCCGCCTCCTCCCTACAAGCTCTGTACTATGCTGTGTTCCTGTCGGCTAATAAACCTTCTGTGTTACTGGCTGGCTGAGAGTCCCGGTGAATCGCAGGAAGTGAT